CGCTTACATTATCAGTTGCATATGTCATCACTTACATCAGCAGTTGCATATGTCATCGCTTGCATCATCAGTTGCATATGTCATCGCTTACACCAGGCTTTGTTTACATCATTGCTTACATCTGCAAAGGGAGATTTGTTGGCTATAAATAGTCCTTGTATCTTATAGTTTTAAATCATTCGAAATCATCCAAGAGCATTTAAGTGAGGGTCGATTCGGATTAAGAAGAGAGAGTTTGAGTGAGCAAAGAGAGTTTGGAGAAAATTATATTTATTTTCTCATTTGTGAGCCTTTTGTAACCCTTTGGGTTTTGATATTAGTACCATGGTTCGTTCTTTTGGGTGATCGTGATCTTTGAAAAAGAAGATGGCAACCGCAAAATTTGATATTGAAAAATTTGATGGGTGCAACAACTTTAACATGTGGCAATGTGAAGTTATGGATGTTCTGACTCAACAAGAGTTAGACGCTGCTCTGGGGAAGGAGAAACCAGAAGAAATAAAGGAAAAAGATCAATCGTAAGGCTTGTGGTTAAATTCGGCTTTATCTCAGAAAGGATCAAAAATATCCTTTCATGCATGAAGTTTCAGCAAACAAGCTTTGCACGCAACTGGAGGAGAAGTATATGACAAAGAGCATTGAAAATAGACTTTATTTGAAGAAGAAGCTCTTTCGGTTTGATTATAAAGAAGGTATGTCTATATCCAAGCATCTGTATAATTTTAACAAAATTCTTGCTGATTTGTAAAATTTGGATCTTAAAATTGATGATGAAGATAAATTATTATTATTGTTGAACTCTTTGGTTGATTCGTATGAACATTTGATTACCACACTACTGTATGGAAAAGAAGAAATTAAATATGTTAATGTCTCTAATACCTTCATGAATAATGAGCTTCGCATGAAGGATAAGGAGGCTAATAGAGACTCAACAGCTGAAGCTCTAACAGTACGTGGTAGAATAGATCAGAAAAAGTCTGGTAATTGTGGAAGATCTCAATCCAGATCAACAGGAGCATCAACTTCGGGTAGAAAAAATCTTGCCAAAGATGAATATGCCTTTTGTCATAATAAAGGGCATTGGAAGAAGGATTGTCCTAAATTGAAAAACAGGGATGACAAGAAGATTATCGCGAACATTATTATCAGTGATGATGAAGCTGCAGAGTTTGTTTTGACTGTATTAGTTGAATCCAATTCTCATGATGCATGGATCTTGGATTCGGGTTGTTCCTATCACATGTGTCCCAACCGGGAGTGGTTTCCCAATTTCTAGGAGCTGGACGGTGGAGCTGTTTTCATGGGCAATGATCATGCCTGTCAAATAAGGGGGATAGGAAAGATACATTTGAAGTTGCACAATGGAACAGTCAGAGTTCTCGAAGATGTCCGGTATGTACCATATTTGAATAAAAATCTTATCTTACTTAGATCATTGGCAGCAAAAGGCTATGAGATCATGCTGAAAGGCGATGGTCTAAAGGTGACCTATAGAGCTCTATTTGTGATGAAAGGTACAAAGAAGAGTAACTTGTATTTTCTCCTTGGAAATATAGTTACAGGAACAACAGCTATTGCAGATGGTTCAAAGGGAAATGCATTAGATGCTACCAGATTGTGGCATGTACGTTTCGGACATGCAGGTGAGAAGGCTTTGCAAGGACTAATGAAGTAGGGTCTATTGAAAGGTTCCAAGACCTACAAGCTTGGATTTTGTGAACATTGTGTTCTGGGCAAGCAAACAAGAGTCAAGTTTGGCACAACAGTACACCGCACGAAGGGAACACTTGACTATGTTCACACAGATGTTTGGGGACTTACCAGAGTTGCATCTTTGGGAGGTAAGCATTGGTTTGTCTCATTTGTTGATGATTTCTCTAGATGAGTATGGGTGTACACCATGAAACATAAAGATGAAGTCTTAAAAGTGTTCTTGAAACAGAAGAAGATGATGGAGACCCAGACTGGCAGAAAAATCAAAAGACTCAGATCTGACAATGGCGATGAATACACATTGGACCCATTCTTGCAAGTATGCCAGGACGAGGGTATTGTTCGACACTTTACAGCCAGAGACACGCCACAACAGAATGGGGTGGCAGAATGCATGAATCGAACCTTATTAGAAAAGGTTAGATGAATGTTGTCTAATGCTAGATTGGGCAAAGAGTTTTGGGCTGAGGCTGTGACATACGCATGCCATTTCATCAACAGGTTGCTTGCAGCTGCGAATGAGGGCAAAACGTCCATGGAGGTATGGTCTGGGAAACCTACTACAGATTATGATTTTCTGCGAATATTTGGCTGTACTGCCTACTTTCATGTTAAAGAAAGTAAGTTGGATCTTAGAGCCAAGAAAGCTATATTCTTGGGCTATAGTGAAGCATAAAGGGGTATAGCCTTTGGTGCCCCAAGTTGAAAAAAATCATTAATAGCAGGGATGTTACATTCGATGAGTCTTCTATACTGAAAAGTTCTTTTACAGAGAACATGACCAAAGAAGTTTCACAGTAGGTGGAGTTTGAGGCTCTAATTGTTCCAGCTAGACCTGTCAGTAACTCAGATGATGAGAAAACATGTACAGATGAGGAGGAGGCTCCTACCCAAGAGTCTCCACAGTAACCATATTCTATTGCAATTGGTAGATCAAAAAGAGAAATAAAGAAACCTATACGGTTTACTGATATGGTGGTATACGCACTACCCATAGTTGATGACGACATCCCATCTACCTATAGAGAAGTTGTCATAAGTTCAAAAAGTGTAGATTGGAAGAAAGCAATGGACGAGGAGATACAGTCTCTTCATACGAATCAGACTTGGAAGTTGGTCCAGCTTCCAAAGGAGAACAAGGCAATTGGGTGCAAGTGGATATACACCAAGAAAGAAGGTTCTTCAGGGCAAAACAGTTTAAGATTTAAGGCTAGATTGGTGGCGAAAGGCTACGCGCAAAGGGAAGGGATTAATTATAATGAAGTATTTTTACATGTTGTAAAACACTCTTCCATTCAGATTTTACTAGCTTTGGTTGCACAGTTTGACCTTGAGTTAGCTCAACTTGACGTCAAAACTGCCTTCTTACATGGAGATTTGGAGGAAGATATCTATATATCTCAACCAGACATATTCAAGGTTGCTGGTAACGAAAATTGGGTTTGTAAACTGAAGAAGTCGTTGTATGGGTTGAAACAAAGTCCAAGGTAGTGGTACAAACGATTTGATCAGTTCATGAAAGGACAACAGTACACAAGAAGCCATTTTGATCACTGTGTGTATTTTCGTAAGCTTCATGATGGATCATTTATATATTTGCTCTTATATGTTGATTGTATCTAAGAGCAAAGTTGAAATTGATAAGTTAAAGATTCAGTTGAGTACTGAGTTTGAGATGAAGGATCTTAGTGAAGCTAAGAAGATACTTGGAATAGAGATTAGCAGAGATAGAATGAAGGGCATTGTTTGTTTATCTCAGAAGTAGTATTTGAAGAAGGTACTTCATCGATTTGGTATTGACTCGAATACTAAACCTGTAAGTACCCCTTTGGCCCCTCATTTTAAGATTAGTGCTTCATTATCTCCATGCATAGATGAAGAGCATGCGCACATGGCTCATGTTCCGTATGCGAGCGCAGTTGGAAGTTTGATGTATGCAATGGTATGTACAAGACCCGACATTTCACAGGCCGTTAGTATGGTGAACAGGTATATGCATGACCTAGGTAAAGGTCATTGGCAGGCAGTGAAATGGATTCTACGGTACATCCGTGGTACTGTAGATGTTGGTTTGAAATTTGAGCGGGATGATAGACTTGGTCAGTATTTGGTTGGATATGTGGATTCGGACTACGCTGGTGATTTGGATAAACGCCGGTCAACTACAGGTTATGTGTTCACACTTACTAAAGGACTGGTGAGTTGGAGGTTAATATTACAGCCTACATTTGCTTTGTCTACAACAGAGGCATAGTACATGGAAGTGACAGAGGCTATTAAGGAAGCTGTATGGCTACATGGGTTGATTAAGAACTTGGGGATTATTCAGAAGCATGTTGATGTTGATGTCTACTGCGACAGTCAAAGTGCTATCTATTTGGTAAAGAACCAGGTTCATCATTCACACACAAAACACATCGATGTCCGTTTCCAATTTGTTCATGAAATTTTGGATAAAGGCGATATTCTCTTTCAGAAAATTGGGATAGTAGATAATCCCGCAGATATGCTGACGAAGGTTATAACGAAGGTCAAGTTTGAGCATTGCTTAGACTTGATTAATATCTTGCGAGTATAAATGCCTTTTGGGCTCAATTGGAGGCAGTTCAAGATCATGTTTTGAGAAGATGTACAGAATTTTTTTGCCAATGTGGAGATTGTTAACAAATTTTGAGTTACAAAATTAGAATTGATGTTGGCTCAAAATGTGTCATCGCTTACATCATCAGTTGCATATGTCATCGCTTACATCAACAGTTGCATATGTCATCACTTACATCATCAGTTGTATATGTCATTGCTTACATCAAGCTTTGCATATGTCAACGCTTACATCAGGCTTTGTTTACATCATTGCTTACATCTGCAAAAGGAGATTTCTTGGCTATAAATAGTCCTTGTATCTCATAGTTTCAAATCATTTGAAAATTATCCAAGAGCATTCAAGTGAGGGTCGATTTAGATCAAGAAGAGAGAGTTTGAGTGAGCAAAGAGAGTTGGGAGAAAATAATATTTATTTTCTCATTTGTGAGCTTTTTATAACCCTTTGGGTTTTGATATTAGTACATTGATCTTGAGCTCCCATGGACGTAGGCACATTGCCAAACCACATAAATCTTTGTCTTCCTTTTGTGTGTGTATTTTCTCCTATTTATTATTTTGTGAGTGCATTCTTCTTGTATATGTTATCACAACCACCATTATTTATTTGTTAGGCCCACGCTTCCGCACAACACAATCTCCATCCCAATCCCCTATTCACTGCAAGCATATAAACAATTTATCTACTGCTCTGCAACCACTGGCCAATAAATCATAGGCACTCCAGCTGACAAGCTCTCAACAATTGAATTCCACCCACTATGTGTCAAAAACCCACCAATTGATGGGTAATTTAGAACTTGTTCTTGTGGACACCAACCTAATATAAACCATATCTCTTTAATTCCCTCTAAGAGTTCAGGTTCAAAAATTGTCGAGTACCCAACAACCAAGTCAGGCTTAATCACCCACAAAAAAGAGTGGTTACTATTAGCAAGTCCCAAACCGAACTCTAACACCTCTTGAGGCTTAATGACAACAACACTCCTAAAATTCACATAGATCACAGAGTTGGGTTGTTTGGAATTGAGCCATTGGAGGCACTCTGCCTCTTCTTTCCATAGATTGTATCCTGCAGAGCTCAAGCATTGTTCTTGTTCTGGTATTTGGTTGAGAAGTAATTGAAGAGGACCAATGGTGTAAACAAGTGGAAACATAGATGAGAGAATGTTCAGAACTTCGGGTTCTAATGCGTTGAAACTGTGAAGAACAATGGCGGAAGCTTTATGTGCTCTATCTGCTGCTTTTATGCTGAAGTTGAAGACTATGTCATTTAGATCTGTGGTGCTAAAAAAGATTAGGAGATCTTTCAAGCGCATGTTTTTCATACCAGGAATCCAGTTTACAGGGGTGTCCATGTATCTATTTATTAGAGAGCTGGGATCTGCAATGTTACATGTAATGTTAGCTTAGAAACATTTGCATTTCTTTTTATCAAAATCTTGATTACCATGGGTTTTATTGTTCTAAATGATTATTGCATATACATATATCATTTATGTACTTATATATATATTCCTTTCTACAGAAAATAAGTGCCCCTCCTTCAACTCCAAATTAAAAGTAGGGTTAAGTGCAAAAAACCCCCCTACTATCGATATAGTGCATATCAGTCCCTATGTGGTAAAAAAAAAACCCCTATACTATTAATTTGGTGTGAATAGGTCCCTGGTGGTGTAAAATGATGGTAATACCCTCACTTCAGTTGAATAAATTAATGATTATAATGACCCTTTTGTCCAAATTTGTATCAAATGGGGTTTGTTTGGCAGAAGGGTAAAATAAACTTCAAATTATATAAAATAGGAATAACCTAAACCTGAATATAATTAAAACTAAAACCAAACATTCCCTAACCTCCGTTACCACCACCCATCACTTCCTAAACCAACCTCCATTACCACCACCCATCACCGCCTAGTGCAACCACAATCACCCTCTGCAACAAGCTGATCGGAGCATCGATGCAAACCCCAGACCCACTGTTTGCCGCCACCAAATAGAAGCAAAATCTAATCGCGCTGAGCGTGGGAAGCAAAAGTCCTCCATCAAGGCCAGGTCCAAGGAGCTCCAACAAGAGCTCGCTTCCACTGGAGAGGTACGTAGCAGCGACGAACATCAGGTAACCGTAGACGATTATGAGGAAAAGATTGCCGAGTACGGTGGTGATGCAGGGCAGGAAACCGTACGTCTGATCGCAAGACTCGTCCGCAAAGAACCAATTGAGCCAGAGAAATTGCAGACCATGCAAACCATCTTGGACACTGTCAGAGATGAGATCTGAGGATGGACGGTCGATGATGAATCGGCAAGAGGAGAGGTCGTAGAGGATGAGAAAGAGGAGAATAGTTGAGAGGAAGGTGGGAGATCATCTGTGAGCCATGTTTGGAGCTTTGTTGATGTGTGTCAGAGATGGATATGCATATCTGTATGTGTATATACTATATATATATATATATATATATATTTTTTTTTTTTTAAAGTTAATCTTCTCTGTCCATCATCAACCCATCATCACCTCCAATTGAAAACCAAAGCTGCTTTGTTGCTTTTTCCCAGCCCACACTAACCCATCATCTCCTCCGATTACCCAAACAAAGCTTTTTTACCCAAATATTCTAACCCAATAATTGTGCACAACTCAAGGTGGCGTCGGATTCCCGTAGCTATGGCTGCCGAGAGAGGAAAAACATCAACTGGTTAAAATCTAAGAAATGAGAAGAAACCATTTTCAGAAAATGGTACCTATTTGCATATCTTGTAATAAATATGATTAAATTTAAAAAGTAACATGTCATTTCATTTTTCAAGAAGGCAAAATCAAGAACTAAATTAATTCCTAATTTAAGTTGTTGTTGTTTTTTTTTTTTTTTTTTTGGTAAATCCAAATGAAAATTTTCAAAAACTCTCATTTTTCAAATCATAGATTTTTGACAGAAGACCACAATAGAGGATATCTGTGTGCATAGGTGTACGTTTGTGCTATGTGTTAAAAGAGAGAGAGAGTTACAATCAGTGAGAGTTACTTTCTTTTTTTTTTTTTTTTTTTTTTTTTTTTTTTTTTTTTTTTTGTTGCGCCAAAGCAAACTTGTGATTGATGGGCTTTATATGTGTTTTATTGCAACCTGTTTCAGCTAATAAACTACAAGGGTAGATATTGTAAAATATTGAATGCTTAATATATATATATATATGATCGGTGTGATATTGCAATTTCTAAACTATTGTTTCTTTTTACAATAAATTCTTCTGTTGTTTGAGAATATTTTGCTGTAAAGCCCTAGTCTTTACATCAGGTTGTGCCCAACAATCTACAAATTAACATCAGCAAGTTATATATCAAGATTGATACAGATCTCAAGTTGCTGCTTGCAGACATTGCTCCTCCAAGCCACCAAAAACTCTTTCTAGAAACTTCTCAACAATTGACACAAACTCTTCCACCCTTTCTTTTTTGGGGCAGGTGGCCACTGGAGAAGATATATATGTATGTGTGTGTGTGTCTATATATATATATATATATATATATATATATATATATATATATATATTGTATAATATAACAATATTGAGAGAAAGAGAGCCGAATTGGGTTTAAAGGGGAATAGGTGAGGGGCAAAATGGGAAACAAAAGGGTAAAATGGGGTTTTCAATTTTACTTTTTGTAAAAAGTGGTCAGAGGGACTATTTCTGCATCTTTTTTGAATTTTGTGGACTTTCATGCACATTTTCAAAAAGTAGGGACTAGTTTTGCATAAAGTCTATATATCAGTGGGGTTTTTTGCACTTAACCCTTAAAATTATTAAGGACACCAATGGACATTTACGCATGCGCAGATAATAAGATCTCTTCTCTTTTCAAAGGGCAATATTATATATGTGTGTTTTTATTTGAACTTTTGAAAAAAAAAAAAAAAAAAAAAATCTAAGAGACTTAAATTTTTTAATTGACCCACTAAAATATAAAATTATATTGTTCTAAGAAAATAAATTACTCACAACATCCCAAACATATTTTCCAAATGCAAAAGAGAGCTCTAAGGAAAGGTTTTTTTTTTTTTTTTTCTTGACAAACTAGGAGAGGGAAGACTCGAACACGGGTACACTCGCTCGGGAATTCAGTACTTTATTAACTAGGTATAATGGGTGGACGTTTGTCCATTTATCCAAAAGCTTAAACTATTGGATAGTGTTGCATATCTACTCATTTATACTTCATTTGTTGGGAAACGTGTAAGTTTTAAAAACTTTTTAAGGGATTTTCATACATAGATCTTAATTCATCACATAGAGACAAGTTTTATACAAAAATATAATATGATGTATCATTCAATTAATAGATTGAATACTTAACATCATGGTTTAAGTAAACCTTAGATTTCTCCTCTAAAGTGAATTTTCTCACTTATTGTAGATTCTAGATACCTTCTTCTTGAATCTCCATCTTTTTGGTAATGGTTTTGCCTTTAGAAATCACCCATAAGCCTCCATGAATGACCTTGGAAAATTAGGCTTGTGGGAGCCTCCATTAGATGATAACACTAACCCTAAATTTCTAGAGAGAGAAAATATCTTCCTTTTTCTTCCAAAAATCTCTCTAAAATATACATGGACCATGTATATATAGGCAACATAAAGATAAGGAAAGGAAATAATAAATCTTTCTCAATCTCTAATTACCATATCTCAAATCTAATAGGATTCCAATATCAAGTTGGGTTATGAGTGAGAATCCTTTAGGCTTATTATTTTCTTGGCTACAATGAATTAATAATTGGCCTGATCCATGGACCCAGTTCAATTAATTCATAAATTAATTTCTACTCCACTAAAAGAAATTAATTGAATTCCAATTAAATAATAAATAACCTCTAAGTCAATGTTGCACTTTAACTCATATATGCATAATTAGTTATCGAATAAATAAAGTCATCAATCCGACTACTTAATTAATATATTTATTTTCGTATCTTTGATTATTTCCGGCTTGATCATAATAAAACATTTGTTTGACAAAAATAATAATTTAGATAAATAAATATATAATAAATCATTTTGTCTAAAAACATATGAAAGCCTTCGAATTTACTTTGTGATTAACCATAATCAATACAAAATAAATACAAGTAGCAATGATGCAAATATTGAAAATATAACCCTCTAACTATTAATTACATAATTGCCCAAAGTGCCGATCTAAGGATTCCGAAGATTCTGCCGAATAAATCAAAGTAATTATTAATTAATAAAAGAGTTTATACTTCTCTCATGCTTAAGATTCAAATGCCATGACGGTGATAGGGAACAATTGCATACGATGGCTTTCGCAATATATCTCAACCTAACGCGGATCCAGTTCAAGTCTTAGTTAATAATGAATCCATCCATAATTACCGACTGTGAACTATTTATGATTACAATTTATATTCATGTATTGATCGTCATCACATATATATATAAATATTTCTTGTAATCAAGTGGACACTATCAATTTCATAATGAATCGAAACATAATACATTGAATTCACCAATTATATAAGTCATAAATATTTCAGATATGTCAGGACCATATGTCACTTTAATCCAAATAGGAATTTGCTATGCCAGGGCATATAAATCCCAACAGCTCCTATTTGCCCTCCTAGCCAATTCTAATTACATCTAACTCTAATGTTATCCAGGTGACGATCAAAACTATTGATCGATGACACCTTTGTTAATAGATCAACAAAGTTGTGTTCCAATGCAATGTTCTAGCCACGAGTACAGTTTCTTGCCAGACAATATCATATAGGACATGATACTTCCTCTCAGTGTACCTTGTTCTTCTATGGAACCTTGGGTCATTGGTTTGGACTACTTCTGCACTATTATCGCAATATAGGCCGGCTAGTATGCTCCACAACCTCTAAATCAGTGAGATAAAACCAAAAGGCTTTATTTACTGCCTTTAAGGCTGCAATGTACTCCACCTTTAGGTTTGAGTAAGTAGTTGAAATCTGCTTAACACTCTACCAACTGATTTTCCTTCCATTGAATGAACATACACCAAGTCATAAACCTTATAGTATCTATATCTGATTAAAAATCAAAACTAGTATACCCGACTGGGACCACATTATCACATCCATAAATGAGTATGAGATCATTGGTTCTCTTAAGGTACTTTATGATATTTTTCCCAACAAACTAGTTATCAAGTCCAGGATAGACTAATATCTACTGACTATCCTTACATTGTAGCGGATATCTTGTTTGGTATAGACCATACCATTTATAAGACTCCCACATGCCGAAGCATATTATACCAGTCTTATTTACTCAATCTCCTTTGTTAGTCTTGGAAAACTACTTACTA